ATTTGTAGAAAACGAAGCGTTTGAGTGAGGCGGGGCATAGGGGACTTACAATAATGTACAGTATTTGAAAAATAATGTGTTTTTTGAACATTAAAGCATGTCAACATATTCTGTTACACCAAATACACAAAATAATGATCTTTAAAAAATCATCATATGACCCCTTTAATGCAGTCATGCACATGTGACCACAGCAACACAATAGAGCATGCAGTTATTTATGAAGTGCATTTTTTTTAATAATTATGAATTCTACCAAAAATTATATGTTTAGTGAACATGTCATCATTTAGTGAAGTATCATATATATAAATTATGATATGTGTGTATATACTGTGTATGTATATACAGTATATATATATAAATATATATTTAAAAAAATGTATCCTTTATTTTACCAGGATTTCCAGGGAGTCCTGGCCAAAATGGCAGGACAAAAAGTTTCACAATAAAACAATTACAAACACATAAAACAAACAAAATGTTGCCCTACATTCAGATGATTACAAATAAAATGTTTGCAATTTATATATATATAAAAAAATATGGCTCAATTATTTCCACTTAATTCACATAAGTTCACATACTATAACACAGTGTCATAAAATAAAAATTAAATGAAATATAAATATATAGTATAAGTAGTATTCATCTTTTTTCAATTGTTTCATAGACATAAAGATAATATAATACAAATAAATAACAATATTACAAATATAAAATTATATATACACTTATAAAATGTAAAAACATTTTTAAAATGATATAAAAAACTTTTATAGTTAAATATTATTTTATTAAATATTTATTAAATAAAATAAATTTTGGAAGCAGAGAGTAAAACAGTTAAACTAAAGTCTTTCCCTGAGTTCTGCAATCATTTTTTAACAACACCTGAGGTAAACTTGTTTCTAACTAGTCCAGAATAGTCAAAGATCTTGTTTCCACCATGTCACATTTCTACCCCACCTTAAAAACACACTATACAGCTATACAATAGCAGGTTTAAGTGTTGACGGTAGCATCTGCAGAGGAAGCGGACGTGGCATTGTTCTGCTGATCGCCTCTGGCTCGTTCCACTCACACACTGAACCGTCAGAGCACAGATGAGTCCTCCAGACTCTCACAATTACAGCAGGTCAATCACAAACCGCCGCCAAGATCCACTTATTTACACACTTCTTCATTCTCTCACTCTCCAAGCAACTGTTTTCAATGAGCTACTCGACATGGATGATTCCTCTGAGTCCGTCTCCGGTGTCATGACAACCACAAAACCAACAGAGTCAGGCCTGCTTCTGAATCTATATTTTGAAGTTGCATGTATGCACTTTTTCTTGGGTCTGTTCTTGGATGTTTCCCTGAGTCTATATATTTTTCTCCTATCTCTGTTGTTGTGTTAAGATCATGCTCTGACTCCACATTCCTGCATTAGTGTTAGTAGGTTAAATAAACATTGTTTCAGCACGACTGCTTTCAGGTTTGACCTCACTGGAACAAGTCTGTTATTCAGTCCGTGACAAACACACATTTACAAATCACTGATTTCCTCAAATAGTTTTTAAAAAGCAACACTGAAAATCACATTCTGTCCTTCTGGGGAAATCAGTGAGTTAATGATTACAGTTTGAATGTTTCTTTTTTTTTTTTCGTTTATGCTGCTGTTGTTTACTTTGGTATTTCAAATATTTGCTGACAGTAAATCTTTGTTTGCTGCAAGAGAACATTTAACCCTGTAAAGCCTGACATATGAAATAATGAAATGCAGATTTATCAAGCCTTTAGACAAGATATATAAGAAAATCGAAAAATAAAAGTTGAGAATATGGAGTTCAAACTTGAAGAGGAACAAAACAGCTCCGTTTTATTCAGAGACTCAAACTGAACAAAAATATGAATTTGCTGCAGATGCTGATATTTAAATGATGAAATTCTGCTGCATGTAGTGTAAATCAATGAAATCTTTATAACAGTACAGTATATACTGACATAAAATGATCTAAATATCAGTGGTCGCTCTGCAGTGGCATGCGAAAGTTTGGGAACCCCTTGCAGAATCTGTGAAAATGTGAATAATTTTAACAAAATAAGTGCATTAATAATTTGAATTTTGAATTTTGAACAGGATGAAGATGTCCAAATTTTTCTTATATTGTTGAGGGGTTTTTTTGTTGGGATTTTTTTTCCCATTTAGTTTTGCCCTTCAGAAGCAACAGAAGATACGTGCATGTTTCTCAGAAGACAAAATAAGTCAAATTTACCTTGATCTTCAAATTCAGGCTCTTAATGCGTCGTGTTTCCTTCTGGAGCATCAGTGAATATTTGAACCTTTTTTAATAGTTGTGTTTGAGTCCCTCAGTTGTCCTCAGAGTGAAAAGATGGATCTCAAAATCATACAGTCACTGCTGGAAAGGGTTGAAATCTGCAGAAGATGCTGGAAAACTGAAGAATCTGCAGGAGCTGGAGGATCTTTCTGAAGAACAGAGCTCAGTTTAACTGTTCAGAACAAACAAGAGACTCATGAACAAGCATCACAAAACGATGTGAGATGTTCTGGAGTTGTACAATTACACTAAAAGAGCTTTTAATTGATAAAAACCGTAAACTATCACTCAGAGACAGAAGACAAGCAGTAGACTGAGTGAGACAGGTTTAACAGCACAGTTTTGATCATGATGCTCATTTAGATTGTTTTGGAGGACTTTGCAGTGTATTTTCGTCTCGTTCTCTCTGTTCAGGGGTCAGGTGCCTGCCGAGGCTGAAAATAATTACTTAGCAATTGCCAAAACACTGGAGATGTACGGCGTGGATCTGCACCCTGTGTTTGTAAGTTCAGCCCTGTTTAATCAAGAGCTGTTTCTCTCCTTCATTTTATTTGATTGGATACAATATCAACATTTGTCTTTTCTGTTAATGATTTAATTCTTCCTTTCATTTCTCCGCTGCACCAGCTTGATTTTTAATAATCCTGGCAGTGTACTCTATGACTATTGATGATGAATTGCTTGTGTTTTTGTTTATTAGTCTCGTAATGCATGAATGTTTTCAGGGAGAAAAGCAGTCGGAGTATTTCCTGGGCCTGACGCCTGTCGGGGTCGTGGTTTACAAAAACAAAACACAAGTGGGGAAATATTTCTGGTAGGTTGATGTTTAAACTGAATTTTTCACCTGTTAGAGGAATAATTCACCCAAAACTGAAAACTCTCAGTCATTCGAAACCCACATTAATGTGTTTCAGGATGTTTTTGAATTTTCAAAACAAATCCTTTAAATATATGATATGATACATGCTGTGATATATGTAATATTATGATATATGATGTATGTTATGATATGATCCTTTAAAAGAATAAATCATTTAATGAGATATGTAACGAGATATATGATATAATATGAGATGTATATGAGATAATATTTATCTCATATCGTATATCACATCATATATCATATATCTCGTAACATATATCATATGATATATCATATATGATATATATTGTATGATATGATGTATGATGTGGTATGAGATTTATGATATGATATATGAAATGAGATATTTGATATATGGTATGAGATATGATTTGATTTGATATGATAAGAGATATATGATGATATGATATGATATATGGTATGACATGATATCATATAGTATTACTTTATATTAACGCTTTACTCTTGACTTTGTCACTCTGTTTTGATTTGTTTTTATGCACAGTGTTAAATAATGTACTTTTAATCAATCATGTTTCAGGCCAAGAATTACGAAAGTGTATTTCAAGGAAACCCAGTTTGAGCTGCGGGTTATGGGCAGAGATGTAAGTCGTCTTTTTAATACAACATCACAATAAATAAATGAACTGCGTGTGATCTCTAGATACCAGAAAATCCCTTGAATTTACATGCAATCATTGCATTATACTGTTGCCACCGTATAAACCTTAACATCATGATTTTCTGTGCAGCTGCTTTGAATCGATGTGTATTATGAAAAGTGAAAGCAAGCAACAAAATTAATGTATAAACCTGCTTTACTTTATTGCAACTGCTTCCATAGCGTCACAAGCTCTGGGTGGAAAATCAATGAAAAGCCCGTGATTGATGGAGGTTTATGACTGGCCTCAAGCCTCTTGACTGTCTATAACCCGTTTCCTCTAGGGCCCAATTTAAGCTGCAGTGAAGCGTCTTCTCGCTCCAGGACTCTGGCCCTCTTCATCTGAGCCAGTGAGATCAGGCTAATGAGAGCACACGCGGGTTATGAGGGCCACCTCCAGTGATGAGCATTTAACATCAAGTATATACACACATGCGTTTAAACACAGCTTGCCTGTGTGTTTTCAGTGCAATGAGACGTCGTTCTTCTTCGACGCTCCCAGTAAGACAGCCTGCAAGAACCTGTGGAAGTGCTGCGTGGAGCATCACACCTTCTTCAGGTACAGCAGCAGAGATTTCCTGCTCTATTAAAGAAGTTACCCAATACAGTAGTGTATCAGATGGCGGGAATTCAAATATTATTCCATTTCATGGGTACCGAATAATGCATGTCCAGAAAACATGGTAACACCATGCTATAATATTTATGTGCTATAGTTTTATTAATATTTAGATTTAGCTTTTATTTTTATAATTTTATAATTAGTTTATGTGCTTTTTTATTCATTTATTACTATTTAGGTTTAATGTATTTTTAATTCGGTTTTATTTTAATTTCAGTTTTAGTTTTTATTTATTTGAATTCCATTTAGCAATTTTAGAGCTTCATCGAAATAAGAAATGTTGCCTTGGCAACTAACTGAAATATGTTTTTCATCTAATCTTTATATTTATATTTTATTTTATTCAAGCTTTATTTCAGTTAACGGGTTAAATTTATTTATTTATATTTTCGTTTAAAGTTGAAGCACTAAAAATGGAAATAAAATAAAAATAAAAAAAATAAATAGATAAATAAAAATAAAAATAATAATAAAAATGGCAAAAGCCCATAATAAGATTACAAAAAATGTAAGTTAACTTGTTAACTGAAATAAAATTTAAACTGTTAATTGAAATAAAGCTTGAATAAAAAATAAAAAAATTATAAAGATTAGATTAACATTTTTAAATTATTTCAGTTAGTTTGATCATTTTTAGTTTATTAAATTGAAGCACTAAAATTGCTAACTGGAAATAAAAGATAAAATAAAAACTGAAATAAAAATAAATATAAATTAAAACTAAATAGTAATATTTAAAATAAACAAAAACTAATAAAAGTGACAAAAGCACATAAAATTACTAATAATTTAAAAAAAGAGTATAAAATCAAAGCTAATTCAAAACAATAATAAAAAACTTAAATTAATAATAGTAAATAAACAATACCAAATGCAAAATTTTATATTTTATTTTATTCAAGCTTTATTTCAGTTAACGGGTTAAATTTATTTATTTATATTTTCGTTTAAAGTTGAAGCACTAAAAATGGAAATAAAAAAAAAATTTAAAAAAAAAATAGATAAATAAAAATAAAAATAATAAGCCCATAATAAGATTACAAAAAATGTAAGTTAACTTGTTAACTGAAATAAAATTTAAACTGTTAATTGAAATAAAGCTTGAATAAAATAAATTATAAAGATTAGATTAACATTTTTAAATTATTTCAGTTAGTTTGATCATTTTTAGTTTATTAAATTGAAGCACTAAAATTGCTAACTGGAAATAAAAGATAAAATAAAAACTGAAATAAAAATAAAAATAAATTAAAACTAAATAGTAATATTTAAAATAAACAAAAACTAATAAAAGTGACAAAAGCACATAAAATTACTAATAATTTAAAAAAAGAGTATAAAATCAAAGCTAATTCAAAACAATAATAAAAAACTTAAATTAATAATAGTAAATAAACAATACCAAATGCAAAATGGATATTATAGCATGTCGTTACCATGTTTTTTGGACATGCATCATATATAAAATTAACACCTGATATACTGATATGTGCTTTTGTGGTAGCATTTGAACTAAATGGTTTTATTAAAGTCAAAAATATCATTTAATATGACAGAATGGACCTGATTGCATTACAAGCACCAATAAAACACTCATTTTAAGGCTCAGCTCAGTAACAGCTACACATTTCCACTGCATGAAACTGCTTGCGTTGGAACAACCTCATGCACTTTATAAACATCTTAATCCGGTCTGAACTACTTGTTTGAGTGCAGAAAGCCGAACCCGCTGCATTACACTCTCACAGAGAAACGCTGCGAACCCAAGGGCCCTTCAGATTCCCGCGGCTTTACTGAGGCTCTTTATTCTGAGGAGAAGCGTTCACAGTCGTCTCTGGTGTTGTGTTTGTTTAATCAGAGCGTCTCACTCCGATCCCCAAAGAGCTTTACACGCTCAGAACGCAGGCGGCTGGAGGTTTCTGCTGCTAATCCGCGCGTGAGAAACACCTCCAAACTCCTGCAGACTTTAATATTAAGAACAGAATTCTTGCTAACACTTTACACTAAGGTCTCAGTTGTGAACATGCGTTAATGCATTAGCTAACATGTTAGCTTGATAGAAAACTGAAATGAAAATAAACAGTATTTTTTAAATAAATAAACACCAAACTGATAAAAATGGCAAAAGCACATAACAAAATTACTAAAAATGTAGCTAAAATTAAAATGAAAACTAAAAGTATAAAAATAAAAGACAATTCTAAATAATTGATCAAATGCAGAAACAAAAATTTTGATATGATCAGTTTTTTGGACATGCATCATTCAGTATGCATTATTATATAGTATTCATCTGATCATCTATTTTATCAGGTAACTTACAAACTGAGCTCTTTTTGGTAACATTTTAACTCGTTTTATTTAAGTTCAAAATATTATTGAATATGACAGAATGAACCTGACTACATTAAAAGCACCAATAAATTCATGCAAATTTTTATTCATAGTTTAATAATATTTCTTTTAATTTTAGTTTTCATTATTTTAGTGCGTCACGTTAAACTATGCGAAAATGAGAACTATAGCTGAAATTAAACAATTAAAAAAAATTCACTTTATTTTTGTTTTATTTTAAATAACAAAAATGTTTACCTTTTATGGTTTTAGTGTTAATTTTAGTTTCAGTTAACTGTAACAACCCTGGTTGAAATGAACAAGTACTAAAAGCTGTAGAACTCCATTGTTGACTAATATATTTGTAATGAATTATTGATTGTTAGTGTTGTTTGCTATTACTGTTGTTTATATGTCGTGTACAGAGCCGAACACATCTGAAACGCTGAGCGGAAACAGGACCGTCCCGACTTTAAAAACAAGCCCAATCATGTTCTGTCATCATAACACACAGATCAAAATGATCAGAGACAAATTATACAGAACATGGCGTTCCTCAGTTCTAGTCTGATCTCTTATTATGTTTTGGCTTTTCATTTCTCTGCTGGTTGGTTCTGCGTTTTAGCAGAGCTGTGCGTTTACAGCTTTTGAATTTTAATGAGAGGAAAGCCTTCCTAACACATTTGTTCTGTAATTTAGCTCATTAAAATATGGCTGTAAACAACAGATTTGCCCCACAGATGTTTGGAAGGAGGCTATGAAACAACATCCATGTTTCATCAGGAGTGATGATAATAAATAATCTTAATAAAATGTCTTTCACAGAATGCCAGAGAACGAGTCTAATTCACTAACAAGGAAACTGTCCAAATTCAGCTCTCTGGGCTCGAAGCATCGCTACAGGTTCGTAAACCAGAAATTAATACTTTTATTCAACAAAGATGCATTAAATTGATCAAACGTGACAGAAAAGATTTATAATGTTACAAAAGATTTCTATTTCAAATAAATGCTGTTCTTTTGAACTATGTGTTCATCTGTGAATCCTGAAAAATAAAATGCATCATGGTTTCCACAAAAATATTGTGCAGCACGACTGTTTTCAACATTGTGATAATAATCAGAAATGTTTCTTGAGCAGCAAATCAGCATATTAGAATGATTTCTGAAGATCATGTGACACTGAAGACTGGAGTAATGATGCTGAAAATACAGCTGCGCATCACAGAAAATAAATTACAGTTTAACAGATATTCACATAGAAAACAGATATTTTAAATAATAAAAATATTTCACATTTTAACTGTTTTTACTGTATCTAATAAATGCAGCCTTGGTGAGCAGAAGAGACTTCTTTCTGAAATATAAAAAAATGTTTCTGACCCCAACGGAGTTATAGAAGTTGTCATAAATCTATAACCAGATAAAAACCCAAGACACAAAGTATTGAGAAATTACTTTTAATATGCACAGACAGATATTAGTCACAGACAGTGATATAATGCTGAATGTGTGACTCATGTTACTGTCATTACATTCTCAGGGTTAGTCATTAAATAAACATAAAATGGCTGCATCACATCCATCCAAATGTGGGCCGAACTCAAAAGAATAAAAAGCCAAATAATTGACAGATTACAAAATCACAGCACCTTAAAACTACTACCTAACAAGCACTAAACACCAGTTTTTAAAGGAACAGTTCACCCAGAAAATTAAAGTAATTTCATACAGAATAACATGACTTTCATTTTCTGAGTGAACTGTTCCTTTAACTCTTTCCCCGCCAGCAAAAAGTTCTCAGACACTGCAAGCATTTTTGATGATTTTCACTAAAATGTCATGACCCCCAGAATATTTTGTTGTATGCATTTCTGAACATGCAATACATCACAATAAAGAAGAGAGCCTCTCCTTTTAAACAAAAAAATCTGTTTTATTCTAGCTTTAAGCATTCTTTTTTATCAACACCTGAATGTAAGTAAGTTTCATAAAAAAACAACATTTTGAGCAAAAAGCTGAGAAAATCGTATTTTTATCTGGATCATATTCAGTAAGATGATCAAAACAAAGATGCAGTAGATGGCTTCCATCAGCACTCCTAAAGCTTGCACAGTCCTTTACTACTTCCTGGATCCACATTTCACTCGGTAACATTAGGCAGTTTTCATTTATATGCTGTTTATTGTTAATGATCGCATTATTTTTCATATGCATATGCATACATATGAGATCGCTCGTTGCTGCGTCTTCCTCGCCTGTGTTTTTGATCGGCATGTTCTAGACTCATTCAGGAGATGCGTAATAGCGCCCTCTAGTGTATAAAAGTGAAAACATGGGGGAAAAATGTGTCTTGTTTTCTAGTATAAATATCTAAACATTCTTGAATCAAGATTCATTTATTTGACAAGTAAAATGATTTAAGATATGAAGTCTTGTTTTCTAAAAAAATTATCAACATTTTGTTCATTTTTGCAGCAAGCAAAAATATCTGCCAGTGGCGTAAGAAAAATAATCTTAATTCAAAGGCTAAACAAGAGAATTTTTCTTGCCCCATTGCTTGTTTTAAGGAAAAACTAACAAAATGTTATATTTTACAGAAAACAAAACATCATATCTTAAGTCATTTTACTTGTACAGCAAATTCACCTTGAATCAAGAATTTTTAGATATTTATACTAGAAAACAAGACTAAAATACTAAGTAAGAGAATAATTTTTTGCAGTGTGACAGGACTTGCATTTGCGAATGTTTTTTTTCCACAAGAATACCAACATGTTCACCTTCTCTGGTTTAAGAAGTGGTCTTTTACTTTGCTTTAGCTTGAAAACCAAATCCATTTTGGTTTCGCAATCTAGAGCCCTGAAAGGGATTCCTTTAATGACGTTTTATAGTGTTTTATAGTTCATTGTGTCTGTTTCTGCTTCCAGTGGAAAGACTGCGATGCAGATCGGACGAGAGCAGTCTGTGACACTGCCGCGACCCGACCTACAGGTGATCCGAACCCGCAGCAAGACCTACCCGAAGAGAAGCACACAGCCCGCAGGTGAGCCGCATCTCACGCCCGGTTCACACCCGATGAGGTGTTTCTTGAGACAAACAACCACACAGAACACTCCAGGCCAAGGGTTCTCAAAGTCTACATTACAAGGTCCAAATCTGAATTTTCATCAATGTCAAAGGTCCGGAACAATTAGTTATTACAAAACTTGATATTAATAAACATGCATAACAAATCAACACTTATTTTGAAAATGACAGAATTTTAATTTTTGGGTGAACTAACGCTAATGCGAGGGTGTTTCTAATGCAGCATCTATGGGAGGGACGGTAAATTTGACATCGTTCTCTCTTCTGACTGCCGTTTTCAGTCTCTCTCAATTTTTTTTCCTTTGATTGAAAGTCATGAAAACACTATCGTGGAGTTTTTCTTTTGCTATTTGAGGAAATGGGAATGCAAAAAATATATTTGTGGTACTCTCCCATTCACTGCTCTCCAATTAACCTAACTATGACGACTTCGGCTGCTGAGAAACCCGGAAATTTGAAAATATATTTATATCTATATTTCCCCTATCTTTATGTTCATACAGTCAAGGTGTTGAACGTTACACTGATAGTTTTCAACGTTTCTTACCAAGAAGCGTTTAAAGGGGTCACGACTTGCCTCTGTTTTTTATTTTGTACTGTTCTCTGAGGTCCACTTATAATGTTATCAAGATTTTTACATCAAAAAAACATCATAATAAGTAATAGGCTATTTTCTGTCCTGTTTTTGAGCCCCTCATCTGAACACTCTGTTTGAATAGTCATGGAGGATGGTAGACTCGGTAGTAAACGCCCACTGCTATGATTGGCTAATAGTTGTGCATGTTTGATAGTCAACGTCCTTCACAGATGGACGCTGCAGTGATTCATAAATAGCTCAATACATATCAAACGATCTGTAAGAAGAGAAAGCAATAGTGACCATGTAATGAAAACAGTTACTCACACTTGTGTTGCGACATTACTGTCGGATCCAATGTAGTCGCACAGTATCGTCTTTCAGTTTCAATCTTTTTGAAAATCCTGCGTTGAATTTTGCCTTGTTTATAAACGAATACGCAGTAAAATGAAGTGAACAAAGGACAGAGATCTTACTGACGCAGTCTGGATCTTCATTCAAAATAAAGTTCATCCACTCTTTCCTAACGTTGGGACCAGAAGGAAGGCGATGCAAAGACAGTGTCTTGTCTTCAGAGCATATTTAACGAACAGTGATTTTATTCTTGAGATCATTCATTGAGATCATCAAATGGAGACTTTGCTGAATCTCCTGCATCTCAGATGTTTCTCCTGAGAAAAAGACCCCAATGACTTCATATAGATCCCCTCCAGTTCAAGAAGATCTCAATATGAGCTCTGACATTTCTCAGAATCAAATGATCTGAGTTCACACATGAATACAGTGCATCCTATATTTACCATGGTACTGTTGGATTCATACCAGTGTTATTTTATTATTTGTGTACTATTATAGTATTTATTAATACTTTGAATTTAGTTTTTCAGTATTTTATTAACTTTTTATTATTTGTTTATATTTCTATATTGCTTTGAAATTAATACTCAACTTCAACTTATTTTATTTATTTCAGTTGTATTTATTAACATTTTGAATTAGGCTAGCTTCTTTTCTCTATTGTGCTTTAGTCGTTTTTTATATTTTTATAGCTTTAAGTTTGGCACTTCATCCTAAAGATATTTTTAATTTAGCTGTGTCTATTAATATTTTGAATGAGCTTTTATTTATTTATTTACTTTAAATTGTAATAATTTTGTTGTGTGCTTTATTCATTTGTATTAGCTGTTGCTATATGGCTTTAATTTTAGCACTTCAACTTAAACTTGTTTTATTTCATTTATTTGTATTTATTTATATTTCAGCTTTTACCTTTATATTTTCAGTTTATTTTAGTAATTTTGTACTTTAGTCATTTTTATTCATATGTAATTCTGTTTGTATTTAATTGTAATACCTTAAACTTGTTTTATTTCATTTAGTTGTGTTTAGCTTTTATATTAGTTTTTCAGTTCTCGTTTTAATTTTAAGATTGTTGAAGTAATTTTGTGCTTTGTGCTAGGTTTTTTTTATATGTATTTCTGTGTAGCTTTAATTTTAGTACTCCAACTTAAGGTTATTTTATTAAACTTGTTTTATTTAGTTGCTAAGTCAACAAGTCATTCATCTAGTATTTCTATTTTATGTTAACATTATTTCAGTTACCAAATCCGATTTTTAGTAGTTTCACTTTTAGTTAACAATATCAGCACTGATTCATATTCATGCACTATGGTATTTTATTATGGTATGCCGTTGTAGTTTTTGTATCTGTTTTGTTTGTGCATTCTTGTCCTGGCTAAGCTGTCCCGTCATTGTTTTTTCCTCAGCGGTCTGTACAACTCGGCCAGCGAGCGGAACAAATCTCCCAAATTCCCCAAAGCTCACAGACGTTCACCCTCAGGAGGCAGCGAGAACGAGACGTCTCACTCGGCCCGCCGCAGGTGTTGTGTCCGCATGCATCCCGCTTCTGCATTCAGACTCATTTATGACCTTGAGTGTTAATGCATCTGAAGAAGTGCATGAGTCTTTGAACATCAGCGCTGAATCTCAATCCAGATGCATTTGCTCCCTCTAGTGGAAGTAAACTGGAACAAATGGGTTTTGTTACTCCTCGTTTGTAGCAAGAAGCCAAACACAAAGAGTAGCATCCAGGACTATTATTGTAAACTAACACTAAAACTATACTATATATATATATATTTTTTTTTTTTATGTCCATAGAAAGCACATTAAATGTAAGTAAAGTGTCTACTTTTAAGGTTTCAAATACGTTTTTAGAGAATAAAATGTCAAAATTTGGTTGAAATAATGTTACAGTCATTCAGTGTAACACAATATTTATGTAAAAATTCAAACATGCTTATTCTGACGTGTACATATTAAAATATATAAAAATAAAAGAGTAAGGGAGCAAATAAAATTTTTTTGTGTTTTAAATGAGTATTTTAAAAATGTAAAATCACAACTAATTAGTATTTGGGGTGAAAGTAATTAGTTTTTTAAATATGTCATAAATTATTTTTTGTTGTAAATATGCCTGAGAAGATTGTTACACTGAATGACATTTTAGTGGGTCTCTTCTGTGAATCAGGGAAAAATGTATGATATTTATTTTTTGCTCAGAAAAACAAAAACAAAATTGCAATAAAATTAAACAGAAAATGTTTACATTTTTTGGGGAAAATCAACAACAATTTAATGCAGTATTACACTTACTGTTTTTACGCTTAAACCCTTTTTCGTCTTTGACCGATATATATATATGAATTGAATTGAATTGAATAAATTAGTTAATTAATAAATAAATACATTTATTGGCTTGAATAAAGTAAAATAGAAAAAATTTGAAACAAAATATTTAAATTTTAGTTTGTTTTAATTTTTTTATGTGCTTTAGACATTTTTAATAGTTGTTGTTTTTTAAATGTTTCTATATAACTTTAATTTTAGTACTTCAACTTCAACTTATTTCATTTAGTTGCATTCATTAATATTTTGAATTAGCTTTTATTTTTATATTTTCCGTTTTCTTTTCTTTTTAGTTTAGCTTTTATTTAGGCAACATTTCTCATTCTTGTTTAGTTTAAGTTGAAGCACTAAATTTGCTAACTGGAAATAAATTGTTTAATTTAAAAAATAAAACTGAAATGAAAATAGATTAAACCTAATAGTAATATTTAAAATAAACAAAAAAAAAGCACATATTTTATGTGCATTAAATTACTAAATATTTAACTAAAATTTAAATTTAATGTTTTTTTTTAAAAAAAGCTAATTCAAAATATTTATAAAAACTATAATAGTTTATAAATAATACTAAAATAACACTGGCTGCATCAGAATGAATATTTCTTGATTTACTGTATTCCTTTCAAAAATTGAGAACGCAATACATTGAATATCTTGTAATGTTTAAAATAAACAAAAAAGCGCATAACAAAATTACTAGAAATTGAACCTAAATTAAAATGAGAGCTGAAAGTATGAAAATAAATGCTCAGTTCAGAATAGTATATAAATAAATAAAAAAACATTGCTTGCATCTTAATGAACATTTTTTAATTTTACTTTAGTCTACATTAGTCTACAATACATGGATTATTTAGTTCTATTTTTTCAGCTAAAGTCTCATTGTCTGGCAGTAAGTAGAGGAGGTGAAAGTTCCTCTAGTTATGAGTTCTTGCCTCTGGGCATCAATAAGAAGTGAATCCTGCCGCAGGCGAGGAACTGATGAAAGAATGGCTGAGAATAAATCAATACTGATAAATCCTCACAGCAGCGCAGGCGTCTGTCAGAGATGATGAAACAGTCCGTGTTTCTCTTTAAACGTCCTTCATTGTGTTTTGTCTTGACAGAAAAGGTCAAACCACTGACGACCCACAGGCCAACAAACAATACAGGAGGAGGTTCGCTTTTATTCGTTTGCTTCTTTAGATTTCAACAGCTTCACAACTAATATAATATAACAGAAAGGAAACAATCAGTGTTTGGTGTCGCGCAGCTCTTTGTTTTTCTAATTTATGCTTTTCAATGCAAGACAGTTTCTTTGAGTTTGTCGCTGGCTGGTTTTAAATAGAGCCAGACACATTTTTTGCATTTTTTGAGACAAAATCTGCAGAATGTAGTGTGTTAAAGGAGCAGATCACCCGAAAATGAACATTTGCTGAACATTTACTCACTCCTCAGGTCATCCGAGATTAGGATGAGTTTGTTTCTTCATCAGATTTGGAGAAATGTAGCATTGCATCAGTGTCTCACTGCAAGTGAATGGGTGCCGTCAGAATGAGAGTCCAAACAGCTGATAAAAACATCACAATAATCCACAAGTAATCCACAGCACTCCAGTCCAGCAGTTAACATCTGGAGAAGACAAAAGCTGAAACTAATCCAGCATTAAGAAGATTTTAACTTCAAATCGTTGCTTCTGGCTAAAATACGATGTCTCCTGTTTTCTCTCACATCAAAATCCATCAGTATTTAGGCTTGTAAACAGTGCTTGATCTGTGCAGATTTCTCTCCTGATTCAGACCAGACCACTTTTTCACTGGAGGAAGTGTTATTATGTTACAAACGTTGGATGTGTTTCTTACAAACATGCAGCTTTTTACTTCATAAGATGTTAACTGATGGACTGGAGTGGTGTGGATTACTTGTGGATTATTGTGATGTTTTTATCAGCTGTTTGGACTCTCATTCTGACGGCACCCATTCAGGATCCATTGGTGAGACACTGATGCAATGCTACATTTCTCCAAATCTGATGAAGACACAAACCCATCTACATCTTGGATGACCTGAGAGTGAGTAAACACTCATTGGGAACTGTAAGCACAATCAAAATAGTTATATTAAATTACATTATAATTAAAATATTAAATAAATAAACATTCACAAACATTTGTTTGCTGAGTTCTGCAGTTACAGGTTCTTTTCTACAAAAGTTCTTTTCTACAAAAACTTTATTGTAATTTCATGTTTTTGTTAGAGAAGGTGTTCATGCCCAGGTATTTTTAAACAGAGTAACCTAATTTGGAACAGAGATGCAATTTCTTGTAAACTGCAGGATGTGATTTTTATTAATAACATTTTTGTTTTGTTTTTGTAGAACTGATTATGATCAACTTTCTAGAACTGTTCGAGAATGTGTGTCGTTTTTCCATTCTGCCCTGTCACCTTTAACCCCTCTGATTGGCCCCTTTAGGTCACGTTCCCGTGGAAACACCAGCAGCGGCAGCGAATCCGAGAATTCCAACAGGGAACATCGTAAAAAAAGAAACCGGTGTGTGATTGAGCTGTCAGGACAATAAAAGAGCACAGGCCTCCTGCAATATATGGACGTTATAAATTAAGGCAGTAATGGTCTTAAAAACAATTGTTGCAGGAAATTGTGAAAATCTTTGAGAAAAGCAGGAAATCTTTGCAAGAATTTGTATCATAATATAAATGCATTCTCATCTCTATAACATGCAGGTCCCGGCAGGAGAACGAGATGGTTGACTCTGGTCCGCAGTGGGAGGTTGTGCTACGCAGACAGAAGGAAAAAAACCCCAGCGATCCCAACCATCGGCGCTCGCGACACCGCTCACGATCGTAAGCACCTGAAACTATTAACCCTGTAAAGCCTGACATATGAAGTCATAGCCACATCAGGCTTTTATGGCTCATATAGTCTGGTTTAGTGAGAATATAGAGAAAAAAACAGCCCAATTTGATTCAGAGTCCCAAACTGAGCAAAAATATGCAATATGGTGCAGATGCTGATATTTACATAGACAAAAAGAGGTTAAACTCTGAAGCTTGTAATGTAAATCAATGAGATCTTTATAAGAGTACAGCAGATACTGACATACAATGATCTAAATATCAGTGGTCGCTCTATATCTCCAATAATGTGTCTTAGTAAGATGAGATTGAAATGATCAGAAAAAACAGCCCAATTTTATTCAGAGTCCCAAACTGAGCAAAAATATGCAATATGGTGCAGATGCTGATATTTACATCAGCATTCAATTCTGATGCTTGCAATGTAAATCAATGAGATCTTTATAAGAGTACAGCAGATACTTACATACAATGATCTAAATATCAGTGGTCGCTCTATATCTCCAATAATGTGTCTTAGTAAGATGAGATTGAAATGATCTAAACATAATGCAATGCAATGCTGATTGAGAGCTGAAGAAATAAAGGCTCCTCAGAAGATGTGAGATGTTCTGGAGGCTTGTGAAGATCATTCCACCGCTGAGGAACAGTGAAAGTAAAGCTTCTGGAAACAAACGCTCCTCAAAAGATCCTGAGGATCAGATTTGAGACTCTAAAACATGATTGATGGAGAATCAAGTAAAGCTGAGCTGCTTCAGTCCAGAAAGTGTTCATCTGGAAATATGACTACAGTTATTCTAACGTTTACTTGATAAAAATCAGTCAAGATTTGACAGCAGAAACACACGAGAAGCACCAGCTGAAGCTGGAGGTTTGTACAATTACACTAAAAGAGCTTTGACTGGATAAAACACTCTAAACTATCAAATTAGACGACAGAAGACATGCGGTAGATTGCGTGTGACAGCAAAGTTTTGTTCATGTTGATCATTAGAGGCCCATAAAATATGATACAGTAGATTTTTAGGGTTAAATCATAACAAATCTAAAAGACCCGACCCTTTTTCTTCTTGTCAATCGCAGACGAAGTCCAGACGTCCAAGCTAAAGAGCAGCTCTGGAAGCACATCCAGTGAGTTTAACGTCACGCTTGTCACTGATCAGACTCCAGCTCTAAACAGCAGAAGACAGACGGTGATGATCATGTTGTGTTTGTGTGCAGGAAGGAGCTGATCGAACCTTCAGGTCTCTCTGAGGAGCAACTAAAGGAGATTCCGTACAAGAAAGTGGAGTGAGTCAAATAAACCTGTCCTCCTATAAAACAGGACAATCAATAATTCCACAAATAGGGTTAACATTGGTATCCCATAAAAAAGGAAATCCCCAAATGTATATGCCTAATGAAAGTGTGCCTCTGTCAGTGTTAAAACCCCCAGGCAATTAGTGTCCATAGAAAACATGCATTATTCAGCTCAGTGAATCTCTAAAACCGTTCCTCATGAGCTGTATGTAAATCTGATGTTTTTCATTTTTGGGTGAACTATCCCTTTAATACTGAACGAAATTTCGCGGCCTTTTTGATATTGAATATCATTTGGGTTGGTTTTGTTTCGCAGACCTGGCAACCCAGGTCTGTCTCTTGACGTATTTGCGTGAAACAAATTCCATATATGGAAAAAAAATATTATTTTTGCCATATGAGACTTGAACAGTGCTGATTCTAGACTTCTGGGGACCCCAAGCAAAGCTTTGTTGGGGCCCCAAAATGCTCCCCAACCCCTTAACGTATTCTTTCAGAGCAGTTTCACTGTCAACAAACAACAGTGAGTTAAAAAAAAAAGTCAGTAATACAAAAAAGGAAGAAAATTACAAACAATAGGGCAAAAAAATACAAATAAACAATTTAGCCTATAATAGCCTACTATACAGAAATGTATTAATCAAATGTAAAAATAAAGCACTGCACAGACTTCACCATATAAATTAAACATAAATTGATTCATAAAGTTATGAACAATATTCAGTGAAGAGCAGTGAATAATTCTCTTCTTTTCTTTTGTTGTTTGATTAACAGACGATGACAGACAGCAGCATGTTGATACAGTAGGCTGTCACAGAATGCAGATCTAATACTGACTACAGAATAAAACATTAAAGGTAATTGCAACTTTTTTTTGCAATTGTGAGTTTATACCTTGCGATTCTGACTTTCTTTCTTAAAATTGCAAGTTTATATCTTAGAATTGTGAGGAAAAAGGACAGAATTGTGAGATGTAAACTTCTCCACGTCACCCTATAGCGCCATTTTGGAGAGTGTCACATACGTAAACAATGTATGTATGCGAATACAATGTTTACGTTGTTTGCACTTTGATCTGAACGTTAACAGCGTATCCGCGAACATACGTTGCATATGTTGTTTACGTATGTGATACTCTCCAAAATAGAATTGGAAAGCTTGTAGCTGTTGTAAATTGTAGCTTCGTAAAATTACGTGCAAACAGCTGCATGTATCTGGTTTCAGAACACAAGGTGACCCGATCAAGATCCGCCATTCACATTCTCCCAGGAGCTTCCGGCAGTTTCGACGCTCCCACTGTTCGGATGGCGAACGGTCTGTGCTCTCTGAGGTCAAGTAAGTCCGTTCTGAGCGGTCAAGAGGATGTTTTGTATCACACTCGCCGATCTCAGGTCAGATTCATTTTTATTGTCTTTCAGCTCTCGGACCGATCTGGTGCCTCCTCTCCCGGTTACCCGCACCGCAGACGTGCCTGGTTCCAGCTCGACCCCTGCACAGGTCAGACACACACCTTGCCTTCTTAATTATTTAAAGGAATAGTTCACCTAAAAATGAAAATTTGCTTAACATTTACACACCCTCAGGCCATACAGGATGTAGATGAGTTTGTGTCATCATCAGATTTGGAGAAATGTAGCATTCCATCACTTGCTCACCAATGGATCCTGAATGGGTGCCGTCAGAATGAGAGTCCAAACAGCTGATAAATTCCATATATGGAAAAAAAATATTATTTTTGCCATATGAGACTTGAACAGTGCTGATTCTAGACTTCTGGGGACCCCAAGCAAAGCTTTGTTGGGGCCCCAAAATGCTCCCCAACCCCTTAACGTATTCTTTCAGAGCAGTTTCACTGTCAACAAACAACAGTGAGTTAAAAAAAAAAGTCAGTAATACAAAAAAGGAAGAAAATTACAAACAATAGGGCAAAAAAATACAAATAAACAATTTAGCCTATAATAGCCTACTATACAGAAATGTATTAATCAAATGTAAAAATAAAGCACTGCTCAGACTTCACCATATAAATTAAACATAAATTGATTCATAAAGTTATGAACAATATTCAGTGAAGAGCAGTGAATAATTCTCTTCTTTTCTTTTGTTGTTTGATTAACAGACAATGACAGACAGCAGCATGTTGATACAGTAGGCTGTCACAGAATGCAGATCTAATACTGACTACAGAATAAAACATTAAAGGTAATTGCAACTTTTTTTTGCAATTGTGAGTTTATACCTTGCGATTCTGACTTTCTTTCTTAAAATTGCAAGTTTATATCTTAGAATTGTGAGGAAAAAGGACAGAATTGTGAGATGTAAACTTAGAATTGCGAGAAAACGTCAAAATTGTGAGATAAAAACGTTTTTATATATATATATTCCATTGTGGAAACAGGCTTCCATAGATAATAGTTACATTTTTGCAAACAGTCACAAAGACAAGATATATATATATATATATATATGTGTGTGTGTGTGTGTGTGTGTCTCAAGAAGCCAAAAGCTGCGAGTTTGTAAGAAACAAATCCATCAATAAGACGATTTTAACTTCAAACCGTTGCTAAAATACGAGTCCATAATCGTGTGTGTGTGTGTGTAACACCACTAATGAATTCCCCTAATATAAAGCTAACAGGATAGCTGACTGTAAATCCAATATCTTTATCATCACAGATTTCAGTTTGATTCAAGCATTGAGACAGGCTGTACAAACAGCAGTTTGATGCTCTTCAAATGCATCGGGAGCATGTTTGGTCTGGTAAAGTGAACATGTGTGATGTTTCCCCAAGATATAGGTGAAGGTGTGTCTTTTTAAGTGCTGTTGAGTCAGGTGTGATTCACTTCCATTCCTTCACCTTCCACTGAGCTTCTCCTGGTCTCGCTGGGCGACTCCATCTGAGTTCGCAGCTCAGCTGCAACAGATTTGTGTGAGTTGTGGCACGCGGCCAGAACAGCGTGCCAGATGCACTCACTAACCTCTTTTGAGGGATTTTAGGACAAAGAAACGAAGAAAGCCAATATACAATCACTTTGTGTTTGTGACTGTTTCCACAACAGATCCTGCTCATTTCATAGAAAGCAAAGCCATTATTTTTCAGGGTTCAGGTCATGATAATGACTAACAGAAACGTAGTTTCTCGAAATCCATTTTTTCTCATGCATAGTCACCCAAATGTATTTAATTTTCTTAGATGCAAAATATCAAACCAGGCAGCATGTTTTAAAGCACAAAATCACAAGCACACATTTCATTTGGATTTTTGTTGGTGTTTGCCCGGGTTTTGACTGATGTTCTGAATTGTTTTTAGGGTGGTTTCTTAACATCTTCACCTGGTTTATCATCCACTGCCTAATGCAGTGTTTCTCGACCCTGGTCCTGGGCGCCCCCCAGCACTGCACATTTTGTGTCTCCCTAATCAAACACACCTGATTCAACTCATGAGCTCATTAGAAGAAACTCCAGGACCTGAAATGGATGTGTCAGATAAGGGAGACATACAAAATGTGCAGTATTGGGGCGGCGCCCAGGACCAGGGTTGAGAAACACTGGCCTAATGCTGTGGTTCCCAACCCTGGTCCTTGAGGCACCCCAACACTGCACGTTTTGCATGTCTCCTTAATCAAACACACCTGATTCAGGTCATCAGCTCATTAGTAGAGACGCCAAGACCTGAAATTGGTGCATCATAGAAAGGAGACATGCAATATGTGCAGTGTTGGGGTGCCTCAAGGACCAGGGT